CTTGAGAAAGAACAAAGCAGGAGGTTTCAAACTTCCTGCCTTCAAAACGTATTTCAAACCTGCAGTAATCAAGGCACTATTGTATCAGCACAAGGACAGACATATGACCAAAAGAACAGAATAGAGAGATAAAAATAAACCCACACATATATGGTCAAATGTGCCAGAACTGCACAACTGGGGTGAAAATAGACTCTTTAACAAATGGTGTTGGAAAACTGAATATCCATATGCAAAGAATGAAGTTGGATCCTTATCTCACACCATGCACAAACCTAAGACTTGAAATTGTAAAACTCCTAGAAGAAAGCAGGGGAAAAGCCTTATTGCTTTGGTCTTGGCAATGATTTCTAGGATATGACACCAAAAGCATAGGCAACAAAAGCAAAAATAGACAAGCAGGGCTACATCAAACTAAACAGCTTCTGCCCAGCAAATGAAACAAGCAACAGAGTGAAAAGGCAACCTACGGAAAGGGAGAACATCTTTACAAACTGTATATCTGATAGGGGGTTAATATTTAAAATATATAAGGAACTCCTATAATTCAAAAACAAAAAACAAACCAAAAAAACAAAACATACACAACCCAATTTTTTAAATATGCAAAGAAGAATGAGTCAGTAACCAAAACCACCAACAAATAAAAGCTCAGATATTGAATAGATATTTCTCTAAAGAAGACATACAAATGGCTAAGAGGTATATGAGAAGATGCTCAGCATCACTAGCCATCAGGGAAATGCAAATCAAGTCCATCTGACACTTGTTAGAATGGCCATTATTTAAAAAAAAGAAAAAGAAAATAATAAGTGCTGGAGAGGATACAGAGAAATTGAAACCCTTGTGCATGGTTGGTGGAAATGTAAAATGGTGCAGCTGCTATGGAAAATAGTACAGAGGTACCTCAAAAAATTAAAATTAGAACTACCATGTGATCCAGCAATCCACTTCTGGGTATTTATCCAAAAGAAATGAAATAAGGACGTCGGTGAGATATTTACAAGATCATGTTCATTGCATCATTATTCACAATAGCTAAGAGGTAGAAACAATCTAAATGTCCACTTACGGATGAATGGATTTTTTAAATGTGCTATATACAATGGAATATTATTCAGCCTTAAATAAAGATGAACATAGAGGACATTATTCTAAGTGAAATAAGGCAGTCACACAAGAACAAATACTGCATGATTCCATTACATGAGGTATCTAAAGTAATCAAACTCTTAGGCACAGAAAGTAGAATGGCAGTTGCCAGTGGGTGGGGGAGGAAGAAATGGTGAATTGTTGATCAATAGTTGTAGAGTTTCAATCATGCAAGATGCAAAAGTTTCAGAGATCTACTGTACGACAATGTGTGAATAGTTAACAATACTGTACTTTACACTTAAAAATTTGTTAAGAGGGTGGATTTCATGCATATAACCACAATAAGAAAATAAATAATTTTTAAAAAGAGATATAAACAGCAGCTATAACTTAAAAGCAGTTAGTGATCTAGACATGTACAATCCAGACGATCCAGTCCAGTGATTAAGATTTTAACAGTGGAATCATTTTTTACTTAAATTTTTCAGTAAACCCAATCAGGACACCATAAAAGTAGAACTGTTCGTGTTGCATTGGGTGAGAGGGATCCAGATTTCAGACAGCACACACTTCCACTGCAAACTCTCTAAGCAGCCCGATATGCAGGAATCCCTGATCTAATCAAGCTCCCTCATTTTATAAACAAAGAAACTGAGGCTCTGGGATGTGAGTTAGAGGCATGGACGAGGCTAGAATCCACATCTCCCGGTTCCAGCTTGGTTGGTCTTTGCATTCTCATTGAGGTCTTGTGCCTAACCTGGGAAATACCCAGCTACCCATAAGAGGAACAGAGATGAAGGTAGAGGCAATGAGCTAGTGAGGCAGTGGAGATTTTAAGACTAATCACCAGCTGACACAGATTTCCAATTTCAACTGTTTTTAAAGTCTAATTTGCTTCTGTTATAGTAATAATACCCATTCAATAAAGGAACTTTTGAAATGGCATAGAAGCAGAAAAAGGAGAAAAAATTATAATCCCACCAATTACATACACAGCCATTAACATTTGAATGTGTTTTCTTTCTTTTAATGAATAGATTGTTGAGTTTTTACTGAACTGTGCTCATTCTGTATGTTCGATTTTGTATCCTCCTTTTTTCACATTATAGCATAAGCATTTTCTACTTGTAAACAACATTTTCTTTCATGACTACATAATATGCTCTGAAGTAGTCATTCCATACACAACATTTTTTTCATCACTTCAAATAATGCTAAAATAAACATACATCTGTGTATATAATGTTTGAGCCACATTTATGGTAGTGTACCAGAGGTGGAATTAAGGAGTTAAAGAGTCTGAAGATTTTTAAGTCTTTTGGCACACAGTGTCAAATCACATATATTTTATTTATGCACAATTACATAATGATTATTTTGAAATACTGGAAATAGAAATATGGATAAAAGTAATAACATTTACCATTATTTCCACACCTGGAGGCAGACAACTACTGAATATACTGGTATATTCCTTCCCCCTTTTTGAAATATGTACATGTACACACATAATTACCAAACTGAGATCATTGTATGTGGGTGTATAATCACATAGTTTTGGTAGAGTAGTTTGTGAGCAAATTCCCACCTCAATAAATAATACTTGAAAACCCCACAGATATTTATTAATCACAACGTTTTATCCCAGTCACACAGTGAAACACACTCCTGTTTGTCCACTCCCAGTACAGACATACCCATATCCATATGCCCAAGCAACAGAGAGATTACATGCAGGACAAGCCCTCATGAGACAGCTCTCAAGAAGTAATCTTGGTTGTAGTTCTCATGGGTCACCACTAAGAAATTGACTCAAGTGGACACAGGCAGTTTCAATAGCATTTTCCCAATATGACACTTCTGCAGGGCTCAACTCCACGATACTCCAACATGCCAGCACCAGGAACAGCTGTGAGCCTTGGGTCTCTGGTTCTCATCAGATGTTTCCAAAAGCACGGTGATTAAGAGAGAAACTTTGACATCAGATTATGCCAGGTTCAAGTGATGACTCTACATCCTACTAGCTGTGTGACTTGGATTAACTTGATTAACCTCTCTAAACTCAGGCTCCCCACCTATGAGATTGAGTGACAGTAGCTGCCTCGTAGGTTTAAAGTGATGATCAGAGACAGTGCAGGTAAATACATGGAGTTATTAATAGCAGGTATTCAATTTTAGTCATAATTATTAGTTTGAGGAGTTCTGGCAACAGCTTTCTACTCTCTCACAAACATGACTGTCTCTTTTCCTCTTGATCTATTAACAGAAAATAATTTTTAATAGATAATTCCCAAAGCAATCAATATGGCAATGAATACTGAAGGTCACAATGTTATTATATTTATCTTATCACAAATGGCATTAACAGCTCAAAGTGGTTGAAATTGTCATTAACTATTTTTAATAAATAAATTTGTTCCTACACTTACTATTCCCAGGAGCTTCATATGACAATATCTTCCTCACTCTTCACAAGCCTTGTGAAGTATTATTATTACCATTTTGCAAAGGAGAAAATTGACATAGACAGTTTAAGAAATTTGCTAAAGGTCACGGTTAGAGGTCGAAGAGCCAGGATTTGAATTCAAGCCTTTTGGGCTCCAGGCCCTAAGCCCCATTCACTAGGCCAGGGATGAGCAAAACTTTTACTGTAAAGGGCCAGATAGTAAATATTTTAGACTTTCCAGGGCATACGGTCTCCATCATAATTACTCTGCCACTGTAACACAAAAGCAGCTATAAACAATATGTAAATGAACAAGCATGACTATGTCCAATAAACTTTATTATGGACATTGGAATTTGAATTTCATATAACTTTTATGTGTCACAATATATTAGTCTTCTTTTCATTTTTCCCCAACCATTTAAAAAGGTAAAAACTATTCTTAGCTCATAGGCCATATAGAAAAGAGTTGGTAGATTGTATAAGTTTATCTACAAAGAGAATACGATAATCAGAAAATGTGAGAATCTCCAGCCACATTAGACAATTTTCAGGGATGTTAAATTACCAAGCTCTGCCTAAAGTCTTTTCTGTGTTATTTTTTTTTGGCCTCCAACACTCCAGCTACCATCCCCCTCCCAAAACTTGCCTTTGCCTGCCACACATACTCCTTGTGTTCTTTCAAGCCAGTCACCTCATTGTTACTTCTTACAGGAAATGTAACCAACCCACCCCCACCATCACCTCTATACTAAATCAGGTGTCCCTTTTCTGTTCACCCTTAGCACCCTGTACATTCCCATCACAGGGTCAATCACAGTGGGCTACCAGTCAGTTCACTCCCAGGTCCAGCACCACGATGGCAGGCTTCTGTCTTGATTATAATTATACCCACAGTGTGTGGAACATAAAAGTTGCTCAATAAATGTGAGAAGGAAAGTCAAGAGGGAGGGAGGGAGGAAAGCAGGGAAGGGAGAAGAGGCGAATGAAAGTTCTTACTTGTAAATACAGGCTCTGAATGGGATATGGAGAAGTGGGGAGAGTAGCAGGGGAACCCACACCTGGCTATTAGGAAAGTGGAAGGAAAACTGCCAGACATGGATGTGGAAATCCTTTTGCTGCTTCTCACAAGGGGCAGTCCATGATCTCCTGTAAAAATGGTTGCTCGTTGCATTTGGACAGTGAAAAACAAGCTAGAAACACATCTCTCAGACTTGTCCCATCAAGGCACAGGGAAAAGGTGCCAAGTAGAGGTTCCAGGTGTCCCATCGATTCCCAGGTCATTTACATCATGTTCACTGCCAGTGAAATGTAGAGAGGATGATGGATCAAAAGCAAAGATGGTTTGGGCCGGCCCGGTGGCGCACTGGAGAGTGCGCCGCTTGAGAGCACAGTGGCGCTCCCGCCGAGGGTTCGGATCCCGTTACCGGTCAGTAAAAAAGACAAAAAGGAAAAAAAAAAAAAGCAAAGATGGTTTATTTTTTAAATGTTACAGCAAATAAAGGAATCCAACTGAGGACACAAAAGAAAAAGAAATTAAAGAGGTGGGGGACGGTGAGGAGATAGGAGGGGATGGGTACTCTAAAAGACTTCTTTCAGCTCGATATCAAACAGATTTGCTCTTTTTAAGAGATTATGGGAGCTTGGATTTGTTCTCCAGAGCGCTCCTTTGAAGCAAAGAGTTTAATCATCACATGCCATTAATGCTTCGGATTTGGGGGTTTCTCTTTTTCTTCTTTTCTTGACCATGTGCTTTAAGGGAGAGCTTCTTTGAGATGAAAACATCTGGAATAAGAAAAACCAATTTTTCACTCCACTGCTGCCCTTTGCTTCCCCCTCCCCCCTCCCAAATCCTCTTCTCCCACAGTACAATGCCCCAGGGAGATGCCAACACATGCTTCTACCAAGAGACTCTTTGGAGGCTAGACAAAGATCTGAATGCATGCATCTACAGTCACACTCCAATATCCCTTTCATTCATTCACTGAACTTTTGCACCTGCCAAGAAAGGTAACTACCACTGGACAACTGGAGAAGAAAGCAAGAAATGTCCAATATTGTCATTGCTTTGTCTACCTTCCCATGCCCCTTGTTGCTTCCGAACAAGAAGGGACACTCCTGGATCTACTGGGTAGATTCTGTTCAAATAGGGCTTGAAGGCTTCTCCCTGCCATTTGGGAAATGAGTAGGGTAAAGCCATGGAGCATACATTCCAGGCCCAAATCTGCCGCTCACTTGGTTGGCGTCTTTAAGAAAGCTGTTTGACTTCTCACATATGGAGCCTGTGGCACACCATCTAGATGCCCCCGCAGCTACTGGGCACACTGGTGGCTGACAGCTCTCAACTGAAAATCCCTCTGGGTTTTGTCTGTGCTTGAAGGGAACTGTCTAGCCCAAAGCCTTTCCTTTTCCCTGAGACAGCTCTCATTCAATGGCTGGTCAGTCATTGCAGGAGTGCAATGTCCTGACCCATTTGTCTCAGTTTGGGATAGATGTGCAAGGCCATCCCAGTTTCCAGGTTCCCTGTAGGACTAGCTAGACCTTTGTTTTGACCGCATTGATTTTTACCTTCTCTCTCTGCACAATCCTCCTTCCTTTACTTCCCTGGAGGTGTTGATCCTGACAGCCACCCCAGTAAACTTCTTGCACAGAAATCTCCACAAGTCTCACCTAAATCTCAAAGTTTGCTTTCAGAAAACCTACCTGGGACAAGCGTCCTTAGCATTCCCGTCTATCCGATTAGGGGTTTATTCTAGATGAGTTTCTGTCTGTGAACATGAGGAAAGTACAACGATCCAACTACCAGATGCATACTGCAATCAGCAGAAGCAGCAGCAGCAGCAGGGACTCGTGCATTTGAATGCAACTGAATTACGGAATTCAGGACACAGCTCTGCACACACTATGAAACAGTCAGTGTAGTGGTGAACAGAGACACTGAAATTAGGATCTCCGGGTTAGAGCCCTGTTTCTGCCACTAACTTGCTCCATGACTCCAGGTAATTCTCTCTGCTGGGCCTCATTTTCTTAATTTCCAAAATAAGCATCTTTTTTCATATTCCTCCTCTCTTCTCATTTTAAATGAATTTATGCGATCTCTGATTTGAAAGGAAAAAGAAAGAAAAAGTTCACTTTTAGAAAAGTCATCCTCGGGGCCGGCCCGGTAGCGCACTGGATAGTGCGCCGCTTGGGAAGCGCGGCGGTGCTCCCGCCCGAGGGTTCAGATCCCACATGCGGACCGGTTCCCGCTCACTGGCTGAGCGAGGCGCGGGAGCGACGCCGAGGGTTGCAATCTCGTTGCCGGTCCCCGGTCCGGTACGGGGGCAACACTGAGGGTTGCGATCCATTGCCAGACACGGAAAAAGTCAAAAGACAAAAAAATAAAAGAAAAATGAGCAGGAGCATTGTCATGGTGGAGAAGGACTCTCTGGTGAAGCTTTCCTGAATGTTTTTCTGCTAAAGCTTTGGCTAACTTTCTCCAAACACTGTCATAATAAACAGATCTTATTGTTCTTTGGTCCTCCAGAGAGTCAAGAAGCAAAATGCCTTGAGCATCCCCCAAAACTGTTGCCATGACCTTT